TATATATATATATCTGAACCAAAAATGCCCCCAAGTTATGATTTCTTTATGATTATTAGGTAAACTTATTGGACAAGCTGTCAGAACTGGAATTCAAATGCGTAAACTTGCGTTCACACAGCATTGCGTTTTTTCTTTTACTGGAAAATTGTTGCAAAGCTATCATCATCTTGAAAACATAAATAATTTCTGGTTAAGGTCATACATAGCCTTAGCAGCGCATATCTGTATACCGGAAACACTCAGTGTGCTACTTAGATATACCTCACATTCCGTTTGAAATATGGTTTTTGTATATGAAATGCAATGCACCGACAGTTGTTCTATGATAGTACGTTGGTTTCTCTGACCAATTAATATTTATAATAATCAGGTATTGGTAAACTAATAATTCTGAGGGTCTTCAACGGAGTGGCTTTTAGTCTCAAATGCAAACATGTATACCAACTAGTCGTGGGAACAGCTTTAGCAGTTCTCTTTTAAAGTTATGTAGATATCCTTAAAAGTTTTGAAATTGGCTACCGTATCAGGTTAAAGTGAATAATTGAGCTCAACTAAAATGAACGGTGCTGAAATTGAGATCTAACAATGCATTTTTCTCTCAGGTTTATTTTAAAATCTATGGTTTCTATCATGAGGCATATATGGAAGGAAGTGGGCAGGTAATTTATGCGTTCGGGTTGGGATAAGTTCATGAGTTGAGCACTTTTGAGATGATGACTACCTTAAGTTTACTTCACAGGTATCGTGAGGTTTCTTCCCTTCTCACTTCCACTAGCCCAAATTTGTAAACTAGTCTTCATATTACAGGAGAAAAGAATTTCTTTGAGGATAGATAGATAATTTTACAGTGTATTAATGTTGATCAATGCTTTTAGGCTGCACACAGAAAGATAACAGCATCCAGAGTAGGGTGGGTTACTGGGGATGGGTATGGCACGAAGTAAATTGAAATGAATAGCCTTGATTCAAAATTCACCAAACCTTCATACTTCTCGGTCCTTATAGATGGAATCCAATCAGAGTAAGTCAAAAAATATTGAAAAAATTGTTGAAGCAAAATATCAAAAATTTACTTGGTTTTGTTTTCGTTGAGTCATGTTTTCTTGTTGAACCTTTATTTTTTCCCCTCTTGTCCGGGTTCAAACAACACAGTGGGACTGAAAGAATATCCCGGATTTTGTAACATCAAGTGTTCTTCAATGGTTACCTTTCTTACATCTAGACTGTTTTCGAAGTTATCCCTTCCAAAATGTCGATCTGATTTACACTACAACCAAAATTTCATCCCATGTATAAGAGATAGGAATTTTACCAATTCAGTCGCAGGACTGTATATTGTTCGCCTGATCCCTAAAAAAATAGGCCATAAACGAGATAGGCCAAATAAATGTGTGAATATAGCGTATCTGTTCTCATCGACATGCACTCCTCAGTGTAATGGATGGCGGTATCGCACTGGTTTAGTCGCTGTCACCGGCGTACTTTGGACCCTGTGGTCCGAGGCTCGATCCCTCCTACGTCACCCAGCTCTGTTGGTAGGCAGCTTTGCTGTCGCCCGGTTCTAAACCACGCTTAAGCTAGCGAGGCCTTATGTGGTTCGCCACTCCCAGCCCCGGGGCTTAGGTTGCCGGTTACCATTACTGAGCTGCAAGTCTTCGTGACTGCTGTTCATCACACATCCGTGCGTAATGAGAAAAGCTCTTTATTGTACAAACGGAGCGGAATCAAATATTTTTCATAGCAGTGTTGCAAACATTTATTCACAAAAAATTGTTTTTTGGATGTCTCATTATGATCAACTAAGCATAAAGACCATCCACTTTTAATCCCGTTTGAAAATAGAATTCATGTTCATCCTTAGGTTAGGTGAGTTCAAGAGTAAATGGGGATATTCAAGTGAATTGTTTGCTTTTTGGTGCAACTTGTTTTCCGCTGTAATTATACATTCTGAAATTTGAACCAGTTTTGAAGCAACTTGTTTCGTGTGCCTGATAAAAAAACATATAACTTTTTACGTCTTATTGTGATAATAACAGCAACATAATCTTACATACCTAGAGCATTCTCTGAAAAACTATCTTGGATTCCCCTAGTTGTAGTTACTAGTGCAATGTTTGGTTCTTTCATGTTTACGGTATTTGCTTCCATGAATTTTCATCCTCGTTTTCTCAGATTGGTTGGGCCGCCGTGCAGATAGCTCATTTGACAATGCTCAACTGTCTGACCAACGATCAAAACGAACGTGTGCTCCTTGTCTCGTTACGATATTTCTTCAGTTCCGTTGGGGACATCTCCACATTTATGATGTCCTATTTATTGCTGCAAGGTGAACAAATCTCTACTCCAGAGCGAGTTTCCAAAACCAATCGCACCGTGCCAGGAAACTGGACTGAGTTGAGTACCATGTTTTCGAACGGGACTGATATGGATACACCCATTGTCACACAGGATGCAATCACCATAGAAGATATGCCACTATTTCGGAACATAGCAGTCGTATTGACAGTCTATGGATTGTTGTTTGTAATTGCATTCCACTGCGGTGTTCCGGAACGCAGGGATCAGATTGACTCAAATGACAAAGGTGAGACAAATCGAACTGTAGCCTCTGAGTACATAAACAATTTCTCAATGTGATTTGATTCGAGCATTAAAGAAGGATTTGGCTGATAAATAGAACGTGAGCGTGAGCCTGTGGAGGGGTTGGTGATAATAAGTGGTATAGGAAAGTGATGAATTATTCTAACCAGACACAGAATCTAGGTGGGTGTTTATTTCTTTGGTAAACAAATATTCTAAATCCAATGTGGCCTTTTTATAATCACAGTCATTTTTGTCTGGCGACAACGTTGTCGAAAAAAATTGTCATATTATACAAATAAATGCGTATAACCTGCAAGATGGGAAACTGTTTGTTGGATCGGTGGTGAAATGAATACACAGATCAAGTAGATTGGGCTCGTGGGAATCGATATTTAGAGTGAACATCTATTAACATCCAGTTGGCTGGTAAAGTAACGAAATACTGATCGTAGCCATCATTGATTATTTCTGTAAACTTATAGATTCAGCCAGATAGCACATGAATTTATCCCAAATATATATCAGCAAGAATATTCAATTATTTCATTTACTGCTGTGTGCTTATCCAGGAAGAGCCAGCATTTTGGACTCTGATTGCACGATACTAATTTTGAATGTAGTATTCCGAAAAATGAAATAAAACATTCTCAATATGGATAAACAGGTAAATGAATTAGAGGATTGAAAATCCCGGAATCTTTTGAATTCGGGACCGATTCACTAGACCAATGAAATTTGTGCCTGTCAATGACGCTTTGATCTGTTTATCATATTCCCTCATATGTTCATCATGTACTGTTAGATCAAAGAAAACGTCATTGCCTCAAGAGGACATTTCAGGTAAGGAAGAGAATGGCAATGTTGACTTCGTAAAGATTCGCTGTTCGACCACTGCTAAATGAAGATCTTATGATGTAAAATGAAAATTACGGTTTCCTCTTGCAACACCAAAGGTTTGACTAATACTGGGTATTTCTTAAGAAACTTCCTCGGAGACATTCTAATGAACGCAGACACATGTCGCCTATGTTAGCCTATCCTCAATGGTACACTTTGCAGAGTACTTCAGTCGGATGGTTTTTGTTGTTTCGAATAACAGTAGTTCTAATCATTCTCCACCGTACTCAACCTAGGTTTCCTGAGTCATTATTGGTGCTCCGTTGCTACCAAGTTTATTCAGACACCGGCAATGTATGTTTATCTGTCATTTATTCGGCGTTGCCTCACAACCAGCTGTTGTGCATCCTATGGGGCATAAAACGGATATTACGCTCTTGAAAGACGCCTGTTTGCAGGCTTCTAAACACTTAATGTGTATGAATCCATGCCTAGCGTTCTGTTTCCGCTCCGATACTCGTTTGTACTCTAACTATCTATTTATCGTTTTCGTAGTATACTCCATTCAGTTATCCACTGGATCACAAGACGATGTCTCTGTAATCCAAACAGCATGATTCAAGATTACCACGTGCCTATAGCGAGCTGAGTGGGATTAATCGGATTCATTTAATTCGGTATTTTGCTTTCTTCTTTTCCCACGAGGACATTTAGAAGCGTGCGTGCCCCATCAGTGAAGGGAGAATAAGTGGATTGATGAAAACAAACGGAGAAGCACCGAAACGCACGTGTTTTCTACCTCTTACCACTCCGTTCTTGTTGCTTTGAACTGACCCTAATTTTAAACAGAAAAGGATGTGTATTCTCTACCTTGTCGTTTTGATCAAAACATCCAGTTGAAATATCCCTAATGAGATTTCTGGGTTCTGCAGTTACAGAACTTCTGTGACTGTCTTCGTGTATTGAATGTATCGCTCCAGTGCTTAAACAACTGAGCCGAATTGAGATAGATAATGTGCCTAGAAGTGACGCTTTTCTATGTATTTGGTTTCGAATAACCATCAGTGTTACTGATTTATTCTACAAAAGCATAAATCAGTGTTTTGCGTTGCGTCCCTCTGATGATGATCATGAGAATAGAGATAGAATAGAAGATCACCATAGTAAACTAATAAGGGGAAACATGAAATCAGAGATATTCTTTCAAAATCATTTCCTCCAATTTTGGGTCATATCATTCATACCTACACATACACAAACACTGTATACAGAACCGGATTTGATTGCTGACGACATGATTCGTTCTGTGCCGGAATTCATCAAAAGTTTGGATGAACTTCACTCGATCGCCAGTCAAATGCACGAGGTCGGTCGCAGTCGTCACAACAGTATTAGTGGATCTGCGTTGCACATGGTTCGAACCAAACAACTCCCCTCATCACTCAAACAACTCGACATTCCCATCATAGAAACGACGGAATTCAACTGGTACGATTGGTTCCGTGTGCCCCGGTTCTGGGTGGATTGTTTCATATTTACGACGATTCGTCTGAGCGTCACACTGTCCAGTGTAAGTCGTGGTGTTTTCTTGTCTTTGTATATCTATACCTCTTTGTACGACTGGAGTAATGCGTTCGAGCAGAGTTTACCAAAATGTGATATGTATTTTTGTACTATTCCCATTTCCGAAGTAAGGTAGTGAACTTTATAAATCTGTCTAACCAGTGAAAAACCTGGGTTCGAATCATACCAAGGCTTCAAAAAAGGATTACAGAAAGAAATCTATCAACAATGATTAAATAATCCGTTATCCGGTGTTCTCCAGTCGGCTGCTCTGTATGAAAGAGGTCACGGCTGTCGATGGGGTTTTGTAGCTTAGCTGAGTGAGATCACGCTTTGAGAAGATGCAAACGGCTTTATTGTGTGATGTTAAATCAAACAAATAATGGGAATTATTTAAGAAGTGAAGCATCAAAACCGTTCTGAATCTTGCGAACGAGGTGAATAAAAAATAACATGGGTTAATTAAAACGGGCTCAACAATTTGTACACTAGTGGACACGACAGAAATAATTTACAGCTAATTTGCTGTGATTTACGAACAAAGGAATCAAGTTTCCTCCAAATTACGGTATTAAAATACCGTAATAATGATTTTTCAAGCCGATGTGCTCATCCCTGCAGAAATTCGTTGATTTTTCAAACAAAACGTACTTCAGGATACGGAATATTCTACCACTGGATGTAATATACTTCGACAAAATGTGATCGGTTTCCCAATGTAAAACCTCCCATTCAGGTTCTGTTAGACTTATGCAGAAAATTGGCATACTCCGAGTACAAATTCAGTCAAACTGATTCGGTTATTTAATGAATTTGTTTAATCAGTTAGCTGTTTCAGCACTCATCACCAGAGGGGCTTAAAAAACTGTTTATTTCTGAATAACCAGAAGGACTGTTTTCATTCTTCAGATCTTTTAGAGAGTAGGGTGCTTATCGGGACTTCAGCTATGCAAAGGATTTCACGGGAACAGGGATAATACATATTTCATTGTTGAAAAAATAGATGGATGATAGATGAGCATTTCACTTAGTGTTCAATCACTTTTGTTCCAAACATAAATTTAAAGTAAGCCTTCATTCAATAATCATAATCAAACAATACTGCAACGAAAGAATCGTCCGCAAACCTCTAATATTCTCACTTTGTCAAACTCTAATGACTCGGTTTCTGATATAAAAGCGAATCTAGTGAATGAGCTGTTGTAACTTTTTCGATCCGAAGGTGGCATTGCATGAACGTATAAATGATCCATGTATCTGACGGGACCTTATTTGAAGATCATAACGCGGTTTGCATCCAAATGCTAAGTTACATCACCGGCTTGCGAGCACGCTTGGTGCCAAAGCAATAACAAGAATAACAAAACATGGTTTTTGGGGTACTTAGCATGTACACGTTTAACAAGCAAAAATTCGTCGTTATTCTTGATATACGAATCCACCTGAACTATTTGCTTTCCATGTCCTTCCGTTCTGTACCTCAGGCTTGATCGCAAACCAGTGCTGTGTATATATCAGTTGGGATATTTAAGTGTTCAGTTTTTGTTTAATTCACATACAGATAATGAGATGTAAATCGGTGATCGCTGGTGATTGGGAGTATATATTTGGAAGTACTCATCTATAATCGGTTTTACTGTAGCAGTTGCCTAATCCGATTGTTGGGAAGAAGCGATGGGGAAGGATAGATTAAATAAGTTTTTCACTGAGCGAAAGCGGTTTTGCTATCGCTGATACCTTGGACAGTATCAAAAAAGAATGGTGCAAATATTTTTGAAAATAATATTCACTTGCAAGTATGTGCGTTGGCGTGTTTGAGTTGAGTGTACCTAACATCTTCTTTGTTTGATGATCGCTATATCCGAAACATTTTTTGTGTTTTCTGGCAATAAATAATTAACAGTTGTAAGTCTGTAGTGTGTCAAATTGTGAAACAGCCATTGTCGAACAAGTGAGAATGAATCGGACGGGTTTGACGCATACATATTCATCGGCTATTATAACACCTTATACTCTCTATTTTTTTTATAATGCCACCATAACTAATACTATTTTTGGAAATACTGAAAGTCTAACAAAGGGAGTTCGTTTATTCTTTCACGTTTAAGTACCTGATTCCACCTGAACTTAGTGACCCATCAGTTTAGATCAGATGGATCATAAACAAAAAACAAAAATTTACCCCGGAAATCTGTTCGACTTTATTCAGTCCAAGACAGACCGTTGGTGTTAACATGTTTTTGACGCGTTGTGTTCCCCCTAGGTCTGAATCTTTCGTTGGATATTACAAGCAAGTACTACTATTCCAAATATAATGGTGTGATGGTGATGGAGAAGGAAAGTTGTGGTTTACCTCACAAAGACATGGTTTGGTTAATTGAGAATATCTTGAACAACATCGATTACAGATCTTCTCGGTTTGGAATCTTAGATTTGACCCAAACGAGAATGTAAAAACGGGATCTAATATACATCCTAACCGAAATGAAGTCAAACTGTCCGATAGCAGGATAGACCACTTGTGTTAAAGTTTAGAGGTTCACCAAGTTTTTCTGATTCATTTAGTAGTTTTCAATAGCTTTTACTAGCTTGTAAATATTTATAGAAATATTGTCCCAATTGCCTCATTTCCCACTGAAAACAGCTCTACATTTCACCGTTCTTACTGCGCACACTGAAACTTGACAAGTCCAGCATCATGCTAGTTCCACTGGCAATTTACTGTACAAGCCTGGTCACCAGCTTGTTACAACACCGCGTGGTCAAACTACTTGGACGATTGGTAAGTAGTCCGTCAAATGAAACAGATTCCTCTGTCTGTAATTATTTGTGCCCGCAGTCCACATTCAAACCAACGAATGTTTTTGTTTACCCGCCAACCACTAACCGGCCGAATCACGTATGTGGTGCAGTGTTTCCATCGGTAGAATGCGTGCTCCATAACCTTCAAAATTCAATGACCAGTGTCTGTCCAGTGGAAAGAAAGCAAACAATTCGATCGATCGTTATTTTGTCACATACAAAACATTCGTTTACCGTTTTATATTTAAAATTATTCAACGGACAAGATACGTGGCGCTGTTTGACTTCGCTTGCATGTATATTGTGACATATCTCTTGTCTTAAACCACACAAACAAGTTAAACTATTTGTTTGTGGTTTTCTAAGTTGATAGATGATACTTATCTAAAGTAGTAACTCTTTCCGGAGAAAGATCATTTCCGGAAAGACCGAAACACTATGAAAGCAGAGGGTTATTTTTTTGTGTCGATCACAAAGCATACAGGTATCAGAGAAATATTTCTCAACTGTACTTACATATTCACATTTTGTTTGCGTTTCGGCTGAGCAAAATTGTGCATCAGCAACCTTAGGGATTTAACGAACTGCAAGACTGAAGTCCATATACGACGAAAGAAGTCTGTACATTTTGATTACAGAAGAAAAAAGTGAATATCTGTCTCGATAATTTATGGTAACATTTGACGATTATCAGCATACAAATCGATTTTTTAAGATCTGTGAGCCTAAAATCATTGTTTGCTTCAGAGTGATACATAGGTGCGAATAATTCTATACTAGTTCAGTAATTTATGAAATATGACTAATGATTATTTTCAGGAGAGATAAAATTGTATCGGTTTCGTAATCAATGACAAGGTGGGTCTANGTTACCATGCGGAATTTCGAACAAGCAGATGAACCAGACAAAATCAATGCGATTGTCCACGTTCATTAGGCACACTCCTATGGGGCAGTGAACAGTCATTGATCAGGACTGAGATAGATTTTCCGATGTGTCAAAGTCAACGAAGCTACAGTCGGTATTTGCCAATATATAAGCCATTTGGTACACCGGATGGCC